GACGCATTTGAACAATCTCTTCCAAATAAGGAGATCGCATTTCCGTATTGATCCGCTAAAACTTGAACTTCAAGATGACGAGCATCTCGAGCAAGTCGCATGATGAAAATCGGTGAACCAGGAACTTCACTTTGAACTTGAGCAAATGGTTGCTTAAAATTATCTGGATTTTCCATTTTCTAATTCCTTTTCCTCTTCCACCCTCTGAAGTTTTGATTATGATAGGATATTTTCTTTATTTAACCCATCATCAACGTCCTTGACGTACGCCTCTTCGTAAACACTTTCGGAAACAATAACATGACCTTTGTTCATCAAATTCAGTTTGGGTGACACCATTACCACTCCAATTCATCGTAGAAAATTTGCAGATTGAGCAACGATCATAGATGATATTTTATCACCTAACGAACGCATCGTTGAACCAAGAGGACCAATGAAAACAATCTTATGTTTACTCTGCGCTAATGATTCGGGTTCTTGGATGTATGTCCCCTATATATGAGAAAATCAAATCATATTTCATTAGTTTAATTTGGAGCATTTGTTAAATTAGATATGAGTGAAAGTAAATATGGAGAAAAAAAGAGAAAAGAATTAAGATGATGAGTAAGTTACGTAGTTAGTAACCGAAAAATCGATTCAAATAACTCTTGATGAACATTTATTTAATTCAAATTGTAAAACAATTTAGATCATAATCACAATTCGAATTCAAAGAATCGATGCAATCGTAGATAAAATATCTTACCAATAAATTGTTCATAAAAAATAATTTTTTTTTTAAAAAAGACGATTTTTATACAAAAGGGTATTGTTTAAATTTTGAATTTCCTATTATAGGTATCCCTTAAATGGTAATGATTTTCATTCAAATTTAGTCATAATTATCAATCAATTATTATACAATTTTTTTTAATTTTTAGTTTAAAATATGTTATAAAATTTATTATAAATCTATTACCTTTACATTTTTAATAATTAAAAATATTAAATATATGCAAAATTTTCAACTTTAAATTTATGATTTTTTTATAAATAAATAATATTTAAATATATAAATAAATGTTTTAAATATAAATTTATATATTTTGTAAAGTTTTTTTAATATTATATAAATAAATAAAAATTAAAAATTTTAGCTTTTATAAAGAAAATACTTTTATTAAAATATTTTTAAAACTTTGAACTTAAATTAATGCAAAAAGTTACTAATTAATATAATTTTTTATTTTGATTTTACTTAAAAAACATTATAAATTTTATTATAATAATATTATTAACTTAATAACTAATTTTTAATATATTTAAAATTAACTTTAAAGTATAAGTAAAATTCCTTTTAAATTTGGAAGGAAAACCATTGAAGGAATAGGTGACACATCATCTTGCCTGATGGAAATATTACACGAACTATTTAAGCATAGATTTTACACTTTTCACAAATTATTTATAAAAATGTCGAGACATCTTTTATCCAAATTATATTGAAATTTTAGATGAATATTATGATATTACAATTTAAGTTGAAAAAGATCTGAATGTGAAAATATTTTGCACACATGAACAAATTGTGTTACCGCTCTCCATTTTTGCTACGAAAATTGTCTTCCTATAAAAAGAATAATAATAACGCCCTAGTTCATATTAAGTTGCCAAATATTTCTCCAGACATTTTTCAAATTATTTTGAAGTAAGTATATACAGTCAACCCTTGATATAATGAATTTTATGTCCTGAACTTCAACTTCGCTATAGAGCTATAGTGAATTTTTTAAAGAATTTGATTGGCTAGTTCGTTATAACGAGGGTAAATTTAATATAGTTGTCCAAAAAATTCGTTATATAAAAATTCGCTATAGAGAGGTATGACTGTACACTGAATCCAAGAATATGATTATTATTTACTTTGTCATCTTTAAATAATTATAAATTTTTATGATATAGGTATATTTATAGTGGAATTATTTCATTAGACGAACAAGATTCTTTAGATATTTTAAAAATATTGGTTGATGCTAAAGAGTTCTTCTGCAAAAGCTAGTTGAATATTTACAGAATTATTTGATTGAAAATAATCTGAATAGATGGAATAACATTTTGAGCTTACTCATAGAACTAGTTTTCAATTTAATTCTTTGTCAAAACTTCAAGTATTTTGTACAAATTTTATAGCTAAAGCTCCTAAAAAAATATTTCAATCACTTGATTTTACATCACTTCCTGAAAAATCTTTAATTTCACTTATCAAAAGAGATGAATTACAAATGAAAAAAATTGAAGTTTAGGAAATTATATTAAAATGGTTACTTGAAAAAACTCCTACGTTTATTTCTGATTCTTCAACTTGGTCAGATGATGATTTCAAAATGATGGAAGATACCTTAAAACATTGTCTACCCTTTATTAGATTTTTTAGTTTAACTTCCAAAGATTTCTTTGAAAATGTTCATCTATATAAAAAGCTTTTAATTCCTCTACTTTATAAAGAATTATTAAAATCTTATTTAAATCCTACTAATGAACCTAATATTAACATTTTACTGTTTAGGAATGGAAAGATTGATGGAATAATTGATTTACAAATTGATGATTTAAATATTATTTATCTTATTTCAAGATGGATTGATAAAATAGATATTGAAAGCAAATTTTTTTATGCAAGAGGGTTGCATTTACCATATAATTTAATTTATTATTAAGAGGAAGCAAAAATGGTTTTACTCCAAATAAATTTCATGAATTATGTGATAATAAATCGAACACTATTACATTAATCAAAGTAAAAGGGATAGATGAAATCCTTGGTGGGTATAACCTTTAATATGAAATATAAATAGTGGATTTATGATGATCAAAGATAGTTTTATATTTTCTTTTAAGTGGGGTAAATAAAAAAAATAAAAAAATAAATTCGTAAAATTCGTAAAATTCGTAAAACTTGGTTAAAAAAAATTTAATTAATTAACAAACACTTTTTTAACATTAGTGGGATTTATTCTGACACACATATTCAAGCAACAATATGTTATTAAGGTTTAAAGCTGAAAATATTTTAGATTACGAAGCATTGGATGATGTGCATTTCTTACTCTTGACCCTGGATCCAAAATATATTTGTTACATAGGTCATTCATCAAGTTATGAACTTGAAAAAAATTAAGTGAAACAAAAACTCATACATTATATCATAAATATAAAGAAAAGATTACAGAGATTAAGGGTTTATATGTAGATAAAAATTTGAATAATAAAAATTCTTTGTGAAAGTGGGGTGATGAAATAATTGATCATGATGCAGACAAATGAACTTAAAAAAGGTTTATCAACTCAACTTTGTTAGCCTTCTCATTTTATTTTTATTTTAATATCAATAATATTATTATCTATTAACTTAATAGATTTTTTTTAATTAAATAAAAATGTATGTTTAACATAATCTTCATAGTTTATAAGGCTATTTCAGTTTGGAATTGTCCTTAGTTTTATTGAAGCATCTGAAAACTTCACTCAATGAGTAATATTAAAATATCTCACCAATATATGTAATCCAAAAATATCAAGCTGTGCCAAAGATAATTCATAAATTTATTTTCTATCTTGTATTATTTAACAATAGAGAAAACAAAGTAAATCTTGTTTGTATTATAGGTCAAATTGTGAATAATTCAAAAAAAAGCATTAAAATTATTGAAAAGCATTTGTGAAATCAGAATTTTATAGTTTTTATTTTACTAAGATGAAAGATGATCTACTTTTAATTAGACTTCAATAGAATACTCCTTTGAAATTAGAGGAATAAAATCTAAAAATTAGTAAATCTTTTATTATAATGGAAAAAATTATTCTTAAATAATACTTGTAATATTACCAAATCTCATAATGAAATATAACTTTCAACTGAATATAAAGATAATAAAATCCTATTAATATATTGCTATTCTAAGAATTATACATACTTCATAGAGTTAAAAATTGTGAAACATGCTGTAGATAATATAAAATATACTCTTGAAGATGCAAAACAAATTGCATTATCTAAACTTGGGAAATGTCTTTCAAATAAGTATAAAAATATAGGTGAACTGTTACTTGACAATCAAATCACCAAATGGCACAATACACTTATTTACATTAAAAATAAAGTCCATTTTGTATTGGTTAATATCAGTCAATAAAGAATATGTGTAAACTTGCGTAAATAAAAATGGAGATTACTTTTAAATCAATATTATGATTTGCAAACAAAATTAGAATGGATTTGTGAAAATAAATATCAATGGAAAGCTATTCTAATAGTCTTTAACAAGGAACTTGGTATCCATTATACCCTAAATATAAAAGAAAAAAGTTATGTCATGAAATTTTAGCAAAATATCTTGGCTTTTCTTCACTAATCTGCAAACCCAATTTCTTAAAGACATAAGAATATCCAAATGGACTAGAAATCGATATTTTATTCACAATATAACTTTGCAATTGAAGTACAAGTCATACAGCACAAAAAATATAATGAATTTTTTCATAGAGATATAGGATCAAATCAAGAAGAATTATGCAAAAAGAATTAGATTGCCTTAAGATATGTTTGGTATTACAAAGATCCATATGTAATTATTTCTGAGCATCTTCATGAATTAGGTCTCATTGAATAAAATTAATGCATAAGCTATCATTAATAAAATTAAAAATGAAAAATCAATTTTTTAATAAATGTTAATATTAAAAGATAATATACATAAATAAACCACATATTATGCAATGTAAAATAATCAATCTTTATAACCATCAGTGTAAAAATAATTCAAATTATCTAAATAAATATATGTTAATCATTATCTATTATCCCTCAAGAAAATCTTTGTTTCTTTCCATTTGATGACGTTACAATTGCAATTTCACCAGTGCGGTAAGTAGTGATACCTGACTAAATTCTTTTTAAAAAATTGTAATTTCGTCAAAAGTTTCGTCTCTTTAATATTTTTATATGAATAAATATAAAATTATTATATTTTTTTAATGTATTTTAATTCAAGGAATTTAGATCAAGTTAAAAAACTAGTTTCATCATTTCAGTTTCGTCAATTTCGTCATATTAAGAAAGGTAATTTTGTCAGGTATCATTAGTAATAAGGTTCCTGTTGATTTCTGCATTTTCCTTTTAATAAATTTTGAATGTGCAGGTAAAGTTTTATCACATGATGCTGATAATAAAGGTAAAGGTTTGAAAAAGGTTCAATTTAAACTAAAAAGATAACAATGCTTAAATATTACCTTGAAAGCAAACATTATCCTGATAATATCTGATAATTCAGAAAATTGAGTAACTTTATTCAGAATTGTGAATTCATCAAATTTATTGACAAGATATAATCCATCAATATAATGCATCACATAAAAATTAAAATCTTTTTCTACATAAATGATTATTTGGAAAATATTAAGTGCTAATAAAAAATTGGAACATTTACGGAACTGGTTCTTACTGTATACTAAAATACCAAAAGTCTCAATATTTTTAATTTCTTTTTTATCGACTCCTTGTTTTTCTAGAATCTGTTGCAATTTGAAGAATCCAACTTGCATTGCTATTAAAATTAAAGGAATGACTAAGTTTAATTAGCAAATAACTGGAAATAAGGAAACAGACTTTTAGACTACTTACATTATAGGATTTTTTCTCAGTCCTTTGTCATTTTCTTATCATCATGATAGTAGACATTTCCAACAACCTTCCTGAATCCTACGAGATGATCAGAGCTATTTACTTTAATCATTAATAAAGCATCATGTAACCAACCAATTGCACGTTATTAGTTATAGTCTTGTTATGACATACGATATTACACCTAACATAATTGACGAATAGTAATCATGATGATCACGATTCTCAACTTTTTACTATTTTTCTAATTTCTCTGATTTCACTAATTTCTTAGTGATCTCTAATTTCACATATTTCTTTAATAATTTAATTTCTTTATTTTCTTATATTTCTTATTTCTTTACTATCTTAAATATCTATTTCTTATTGATGTATTTTATATAAATATCTTGTATTTCTGTCTTAATAAATGGCAGAATCACTACCAATTCTCTAATAAATCAATAATATTTATCTCTAAAACTATCTTTGCTCGTAAAATTAATTCATTCTTCTTTAAATCTATATCAATAAAGATGACATGACCCTTCAATTTAATTATTCGTGTTTATTTCTTCCATAATTTAGACATAATTAAACTCCCTACTAGCAAATAATCTTTGTTAACTTAATGATGAACAGTTTAAGCTTAACAACATATTTGTTCTGGTTGTCGTTTTGAATTTTTTTGGGCCTTTGGTCTATATTCTCGATCTCGCCTCTGATCAGTAATAGAATTATATTAGTATCTTATTATTTTTATATCTTCTATCTCCTGAAAAGGATATTTATAAGGTGCGACTTACGTTCTCATATTAATAGCATTGTTAACATCCAAGAAAATATCCTCCATAAGACAATTTACGATTCTGTCACGATACGCATATTCTGATAGCTACTATCATGAAGTGGATTAACGGGAAGTTGGAAGCACAATAAACTATTCCAAGTAAGTATCAGGCTACATCATTTAGATATTACAAATAAGTTCGCAATATAATTAATTTACTTACAATGCTTTATACACCGATTGTATCCACTCACGGGACCAATCTCTGCTAAAGCTATATGTAGTTGGATCGATTAGAGAATTTTGATTAAGAATGACAGCAATTTGAGGCAAATTAACATGATAGTTAACTGTTGCCTCAGTAATTGTGTCATCATACATTTTTTAGAAGCCCTTTCGTATCTTCATTTATTCCATATCCAAAGGTACTGACAACTTCTTTTCGGTCTAAAAAAAATGAGTTTTGCTGATAATAATACAATTAATTAAACAATTAAGACTACAACCTCGCACCAATCCATTTCCAATTCTATCCATTCTTCTCTACTAAGTGTTGACTTGATCGGGTCAAGGTCATTTTCTTCTGGTAGAAATATGGGTGGTATTCTATTAAAATTGAGGTACGAGATATAGTAAATAATATGATCCGTACCTCAATTTTAATAACGCACCCATATATTAAAATTTGATATAATTTAAATCAAATTAGTCAATAATTCTATTAAAATAAAAATAAAAATTTATTAATTATAATTTTCATTATTTTTTAATCATCTATAACCCAAATTATATTAAATTTTTAAAAAATTATGACTACAACCTTGCACCAATCCACTTCCAATTCTATTCATTCTTCTCTACTAAGTGTTGACTTGATCGGGTCAAGATCATTTTCTTCTGGAAGAAATATTATTTTATGTCGAGAAATTCCAGATCCAATATTCACGATTTTATTAATTAAGTTAGTTTCCTCTTCATTGTTAAAATTCTCTTTGTTGCTCTATTATAAAAGATTTCGTTAATAACAGTGCATAACCGACTCCTCTGAATCAGTAGACCTTATTTAAAGAAACCAAGAAACTTCTTTAATTGTCTTTGTGGATATAAATCAACCACCAAATGGGCGATCGATCCTGTGAATCATTATGGTATAGCCTAGGCGAACTCACAAAAGCAATGTTTTTGTGGACATAAACCAACAACCAAATTGGCAGTAGATCCTGCGGAATCTCCCTGGTATAGCCAAGACGAACTCACAAAGCAACCAAAGGATTTTGATTATAACTTAAAAATATGCCTACCTTTTACGCGGGATTTACGGCGAGTACTATGTTTGTTTACAAAATCACCCATGATACCTTTTTGCAACGAAAATTCAGTTTCAAAAACCACACTATAGTTTTGTTGATGTACACAGTTACGTAAGTTATAAAAAAATAAAGCAATTAAAAATTAAACTTTTTGAATTTTTAAATTTAAATATATTTCCAAGAAACAAAAGTTGGCCAATCATTGACGTCATTCGTAAATAAAATAAGTCATATATACCTGATCTGAAAAAAAATTATCGCAGATGAATAGATGAATATAAAACCCATATTAGCTATTAATTTATAAAGGGGTGCTTCATTTTCAAAGGTGCTTACTTTCAAGATTTTACGGTACGTATCATTTTATTGTTTTAAAAAATTAAAAGGTTGATGTAAAAGAAAATCAGCATGTAAAATCATTAATTAATATGTAAAGAATACATTTATATACTAATTTAATAAAAGATGGTTGAATTCTATTCCTAACTAAATTTTCATTTATAATTATTCTCTTCACCATTTGTTAATTTCCTTAATAAAGCTTTCAAATTAATCTCACTCATGTCTAAAATATTTTGCGCTATAGCTTCATTTCTAAATTTGTTCAATTCTTTTATTAATCGTTATTTTCGGTATTATGGTAATATCATCATCATCATCATTCGAATCTACATCCAAGGTTTTTTCAAATCATTTCACAATTTCTTCATCAGATTCTTCCCAATCAAATTCATTATTATCGCTTTCAATATTATTATCATTTTTAAACCAATTTATTAAGTATTGTTTCATTTCGTTTCTAGTCAATTTATCATTTGTCTTGATCAAATCTCTAAATATGTACTCTTCTTCGAACACGCCAATAAAAGAATCTTCTAGATTCCTTTAATTCTAACGATGTTTTTATCGTTTCTTTGGATTTCATTCTTCCTGATGTATCATGTAAAATCTGCAAATTGAATCGCTATTCGTGAATATATCGGTAATAATTCTGGTTCCTTGCATCCAACTGTAATTTAATTTCTCGTTTTTTATGATTTAGATATTATCGGTCATTTAATGATTTCTTAAGATTACAGTACATTTCATCTAACCTTTCTTGTTGCAAGCAATTGTGGCTTTCTAAATTTGATTTTAACTATTCCTTAGGGTTCAAGTACACCAGCTCTTGATTTTGCATTGGCATACATTTCTATCATATCATCGTTAATGGTAGGATCTATTACAAGCACCACCACGAAGTTCTCCATTAAGGACAATATAAACAAATACAGGCTGCTTGTAGTTGGTAAGATCAATATTTTAGAATCTCTTGAAACATGTACTGAAATCCACGTCAATTAGCAAAAATCCTTAAGGGTAATTGTTCGCCTTTGTTAAAATCATTAATCGCTTGAGCAGTCTTATAGGCTGAATTAAGGTACTAAACTTGTCCGGCATTAGCTGGATCAACTGGAACTATACTCTCAACAGTACGAGTATAACACCCATTGGAATTCTATTCCACCAAGACGTGCTCGTCCTACTACAACGGTCCTCGCCTATCCACTTAAAGTTTCAACAAAGGAACCTTTATCAAAGAATCAACTAACCCAACTGTTGGGTTCTCTCTAAATCTCATATTTGCCCGCAATTAACCATCTTGAATCGTAAGGCCCTTTGGGAGGCATATAATTAACATCCCTGTCCCAAGTATCTGAATTCATAAATATTGGTACAGGAGAATTTAGAAGCCATTGTATAATCTTTGTAATACCCTCCAAATCATTTTGTGCAGTCAGATGTGAACTCCATTCTTAAACATAATTTGCGTGCCTTCTCAACACTTTATTCAATGCTAGTGCTCCGGTTAATATTATGGGTTGACGCTTATTTTGAATTGTACCCTGTCCCAACCTTACTGAGTAAACTCTAATACCTTAATAAAAATAATAAGAAGGTTAAAGAAAAAACTTTTTTTTAAAAAATTGACTTGCAATAAATACATACCGACTGAATGACAAGTAACTAACGTTATTGTGAAAATGTCCTCATATTCTCGCGATGTTATCCCAGCGATTAATCCTACCCTTCAAATATTCAACACCAAGCCCATCTTTTGATCCAATAATGTTGGTAATTTTATGTCGTGTTTCTCCTTCCTCAACAATTTCTTCCGTAATAACAGATTTCATTTCATTTTGATGTAATTGCTATATGTCTCCGAATCCAGATAAGATATTTTATACCTTTTGTTTGGATTTCCTTTATCAATCCATGCAACATTAAAATGATTCATAACTTCTTCCGCCAATCCAATCCTTGCACCAGAATTTGCTGACAAGTATACTCTAGGTATTCCCAATGATCTTGCCAATTCAGTTGCTTTGTAGAAGGGTAAAAAGAGTAAAGATCCATGCAACCATACCAAATGAATTCATTCCCGAAGCTCTCTCCACTTTTAATAAATTATTATTCTCGTCAAACACGTTCTTTGGCTTTCAAAACATCACTAGGATATTTAAGGTTTGAACTATGATGAGATGTACGATTCCATAGTATTCTAATAGCTTGACGAAATAATTCGGGAAAATCGTAAGCGTAGGTAGTACCTATTAAATGAGCCTTATAACGCTTGGTTGAAGCCATTCTTTTGTTGGGTAAGGTGTGTGGATTGGTTGTAAGTGCATTGAACCCTGTCGCCAATTGATTTAAGGACCTAGCTTTCAAGTTCTGTCTTCACTTCCTGATAAGTTTCTACTTTAATAACAT